ACGGGCGCAACACTGAGGGTTGCGGTCCGTTGCCGGACATGAAAAAAGACAAAAAGGAAAAAAAAAAAAATCTTCAGAATTTTAAGGCTGTTTGGATGTAGATGGTGAGAAGTTCCCTCATTTCTAGTTTTGGCACCCAGTGGGAGAATGATGCAATTAACTGTTAGGGAATGTAAACAATGACTAGCTGTGCTATTTTTGTGTACATTTTATAATTTGTTTTCATGGGCAGAGATAATGATTTAGATGTCAAACCAGATAAATGTAAGTAGGAACACAAGGCACCCCCATGAAGAATACATTTGGAAATGCAGGTGTAGGGTTTAAAGGAAAGGTCAAAGTGAGAAGGCATTAGCTGTACAGGATGATATTGAAAGCTGTGGAAGCAGATAAATGACTCTTGAGCAAATGTGAAGCTAGAAGAAAATAGTGCTTAGAACATGTATTACATTTGATAAATATGTGAGAAAAGAAGAGCAGGGAAACAGATTGACCAAGAGTTGTCAGAAGGAGAATGACTGTCAATAAAAAGGAGACTTCTGAAAATGTGAGAACAATGTAAGAACTTAGGAAAACGACTGGGATAATTTACAAATAAATATGAAATTCTGATATCCCATAGGTTTTTAATCACAATGTTTAATTACCATACACTGTTCACAGTCATAAGCCCTGACTATGGTGAAGTGGGGCTGGGGGGATAGGGGAGAAGCTTCAGCTCTGAGGGTGAGTGAAGAGGAGCAAAGAATTCCCATGTTCAGGGCCCTTCTACAAGTCTGGAAAACCTAGTCAAACTTCTCTGCTTTCTTCATGTCTTTTTGATCAGGAGTCAGCAAACTTTTTCTATGAAGGGCCAGATAGCAAATATTTTAGGCTCTTTGTGGGCTATACTGTCTCTGTCCCAACTAACTATTCAGTTCTGCTGTTGTAGAGCTATAACAGCCATAGACAATACATAAACAAATATGTGTTCCAATAAAATTGTATTTATAAAAACAGATCGTGAGCGGAATTTGGCCCACTGGCTAAAGTTTTGTGACCACTGTATTAGGCCTCACAGTCAGCTTAACATAAGCATGGCCATGTTGACTACAACTCACCCTGTCCCCCTACCTCCTCCCTTTCTCACAGGCTGTTGCTTTCTGAAAAGAACATTTTGTATGAAGCAGGAAAGATGTGAAGCTGTTACGGAATACTGAGTGCTCAGAGTAGTTGCCCAACCCCCTCCCAGACAAACCCTATAAATCCTCTGCTAGTCTGTATGAGGGCAGAACACTGATCTTTCAGTTTCCCCTCCAGGTTCACTGGAGTAAACTCCCTTGCTTGATAACGTTTGATTTGGAGTCTTTTATTCTGTTTGTCTCACTGATCGAACACCCTGTTCCTGATCAATCAATACCTGTGAGATTGATATCTTGGGCCATATTTGATCTTTGTATTAGTATTATTTAACTATAAATCTCCTACAGAGCTGGTTCAGTTTTGCCTAGGTAAAAATCACTTTTATCTTCAGATTTTTTTTTTAAAAAAAGATGACCAGTAAGGGGATCTTAACCCTCAACTTGGTGTTGTCAGCACCACGCTCACCCAGTGAGCCGACCAGCCATCCCTATATGGGATCCGAACCCATGGCCTTGGGGTTATCAGCACCACACTCTCCTGAGTGACCCATGGGCCAGCCCACATCTTCAGATTTTGATCTAGGTGTGGTAAACATCAATCTGGTGATCTCTGAAGACCCAGAGAGTGAGATGATATTGTTAAATCAGCAAGGGGATTTTTTATTTTGTTGAGGTAAAGACCTGCATGGTTAACTAAAAATCCACAGGCCTTTTGATATTCCTTGGTATCTTGACAATGGCATGCAGTTTTTGTAGCTCCTTTGTTATTTTTTTACTCTTCAATTTAATTGATAAATCATTTGTAGGCAAGGTACTCTCCCCCATCTTTTCAGGGTGTTTTGCTGTTTCCAAATGTTCACCTTTAGCGTTGTTCCAGGTTTGGGATATTTCTGTGATGGCTCCATACTCTTCTTTCCCTATTTTCCTCTACCATGTGTTTTTAATGGCTCAGTTTTCCTTCTCTGAAGTTAAAAGAGGGGCAGCATGTGGGATGAATAGTGAACACAACTTTTTTTTTTCCTTTTTGTCTTTTTTACTGACCGGTAACGGGATCGCAACCCTCGGTGTTGCGCCCGCACCGTGCTCAGCCAGTGAGCGCGGGAACTGGTCTCCACATGGGATCCGAACCCTCGGTGGGAGTTTGGGATATTTCTGTGATGGCTCCATACTCTTCTTTCCCTATTTTCCTCTACCATGTGTTTTTAATGGCTCAGTTTTCCTTCTCTGAAGTTAAAAGAGGGGCAGCATGTGGGATGAATAGTGAACACAACTTTTTTTTTTCCTTTTTGTCTTTTTTACTGACCGGTAACGGGATCGCAACCCTCGGTGTTGCGCCCGCACCGTGCTCAGCCAGTGAGCGCGGGAACTGGTCTCCACATGGGATCCGAACCCTCAGCGGGAGCGCCGCCGCGCTCCCAAGCGGCGCACTCTCCAGTGTGCCACCGGGCCAGCCCGAACACAACTTTAATAATACTGATTTTTTTTTAAAAAAAGGTAGGTAGCATTTGTTTTCCTAGATCCTCATCCCTTTGTGATTCAAAGTGAATTAGATGGGATTGACGGGATCTTCTCGTTCATATTGCATGTAACTTGTCTATAGATGGGAGTCTGTCCTTGCTCTGTGTGAAAGGTTTCAAACTGGCATCCCTCAGGTTAAATTCTGCCTGTGGATTTGCTGTGTGTAGCACACACAGTTTTTAAACATTTTACAATGTGAATACCTTTTGACTGGTGCAACCTTTTCAGTTATCTACAGGCTGCACCATTCTCTGATGCTTCACACATTTGAGTTTTCTGCCTTGATCTTTTAAAGTATTTGCATAGAGTCCCCTGCTAATATTAATCTACAGTGATCAGCTCTTCCACATTTTTGCAGTTAGACTTAACTGCCTTTAGATGTTAGTCTGTAGCCAACTTGATTTTTTTATTACCCTTCTCATCCTTAGAATAATTTGCTAATGAGTATGTAAAACAGTTATTTTTAATAACAGTAGGTTTTCTTTCACCTTTTGGTTTCCTTTCCATTGGATCTCAACAGTGGCAACTTGGAATTTTCTATAAATTCTTTTTATTTATTCTCGTTGTTTATCTCTTTTTCTTCAAGGTGGATATCCTTATCTCTGGATATATTGCAGGTAATATAGCTGATCAGGTGTTATCAATTCCTCCAATAGAGCCAGTAAGAGGCCCTTGCTTGATTTGAACACAGATCATCTGTCTCCAGAGACTGTACTCCTTCCGCCACACCTCTCTGCTTGTTGAAGTCATCTTGTGAGCACTTATGATCGCTTTTTCCAGCATTGCCATCTATCTTTAGATTTCTAACTCATTTCTTCTTGTTATCAAGAATCAGATAAGCTGTTCACAAAGCCTCTATAAATATGGATAATCTATGGTTATCTCAATTGAATTTAGAGGAGATTGTTTGGAAATAAATATATTCTGTCTTTTTGAGGCATTAAAAAAATAATTTTCTCCTTCTCTCTCTCTCTCTGCCCTAAAAGAGAAGGAGCTCCCATATGCATCAAGGATATAACAGGCCAGGACAAGTATTATAAATGGCATCGGGTTGGAACACATGTTCTCTCAGCTCTCTTCTGCATTGTCTCCCCTCTTGGCTCTTTCTTCGTGCTTTGCTTTCTTTCTGTCATATCACTAGCATAATAAGATGGAGGCTGGATGAGTTTTCAGGGCCCCTTAACTTGGAAGGATAAGTGGAGCCAGGTGTTGGTTTACTTTTGATGCAGGCCTTCAAATAAAGGGTTAAAAAGAGTCCTTGGGCTTTCACATAGGTCCAGCCTATTTCAACAGATTGAGAGACAAGATAATATGGACAGTGCTTTTGTCTGAAATGCAGTGTGGAATTTGAGCATGGCAGCTGGGTCGGAATCAGGGTTTCGGATGCTGGCCATATGTCTTTGGAGATAGATCTAAAAACACATTTCATTTCCTGGACTTTTAATCCATGGTTGATTTCCTTGCTATAAAAGATTCATTTTGTCCTGTTGTTTTGACTTTCAACTCTGCATTTCTAATCTGTATTATCAAATGATAAGGTTATTTCACCATAATTCCAATAGTGTCTGTATTAGTCCATTTCTGCTGCATATAACAAAATATACTAAACTGGGTAATTTGTAAAAAAAACAAAATTTATTGCTTATAGTTTCACAAGCTGGAAGTCCAAAGTCCAGGGAACACATCTGGTGAGAGCCTTGGTGGTGGCAACAGTGATGGCAAAATATCACATTGCAAAAATGGTGAAGCAGAGAGGGCGAGACTAACCTCCTCATTCACTCTCTTTTTAAAGTCCTCAGAACCACGCCCCTGACTACCATTTTTAATGCATTCACTATGGCATGTTCCTACAATCTAATCACCTCTTCAAGGCTCCACCTTTCAATTACCACAATAGGATTTTCCATCTTCAACAGTTACAGTGGAGATTAAGTTTTGGTGGGACGTTCAACCCAAGGCAGTGCCCTAACTGTGTTTTTGAGCATATTTTTCTGATTTTCTATGCCGGCATTGCTGTAAACTCTTAAAGAGCCATAGAATGTTCCTTTTATTTTTCCTTAATTGTCCATTATCTACACATTTCCTTTTCTTTTTTTAAATTATAAAGGTAAGAAATACCATTTAACATTGTTTAGCTTCATGTTAAATTTCTGTTTCAAAATTAGACTTTGGACCTTCTTCCAATGCAAGTTTTATGTTCTTTTATGTTAATCCATCTCTATTAAATTTAGGATAAAGTTCTCTTCACTACCTTAGCTAACCAGCTGTAGTGTATGAAATGATTTGGTCTTGGAAATAACTGTCAGGTACATGTGCATAGATTTTTCTTATTAATCTATAGTAGAAGACTTCTGATTTTAATTTCTTTATCTTTTCCACTTTAAATTCTTTGAAGGTAAGAGGCCAATAGAATTTTCTAGTGATGGAAATGTTCTATAGCTGTGCTGCCCAATAGGGTAACCACTAGCCATATGTGGCTATTGAGGATTGTGGCCAGTGCACCTGAAGAATTGAAGTTTTAATTTAATTAAAATTAATTTAAATTGGGGCCGGCCTGGTGGTGCACTGCTACTGTGCGCCGCTTGGGAGCATGGTGGCGCTCCCGCCGAGGGTTCGGATCCCACATACAGACCGGTTCCCGCTCACTGGCTGAGCGAGGTGCGGGTGCAGCACCGAGGTTTGCAATCCTGTTGCCGGTCCCGGTCCGGTACGGGCGCGACACTGAGGGTTGCGATCTGTTGCCGGACACGAAAAAAGACAAAAAAAGGAAAAAAAAAAATTTAATTTAAATTTATTTATTTATTTTATTTTATGATTTTATAAAATTTTAGTTTTTATTGAATCAAAATTGATTATACATATTTTGGGGGTTCAACACTGAGATATGTTGATCAAATCAATATTACTAGCATATATACTGTTACAAATCATAATTACTCTTTATGCCCCTTGTCCAATCTCTTCCCATCCCCTTCTCCCTCCCCCCTCCCCCTTCTAATTACCCTAAATTTCTTCTCTCCTTCTGAAAGAATAATGGTTACTCTGTTGATTTGTTGCCTAGATGATGTCCAATGCTGAGGTGTGATCAGGTTCCCCAATATTATCATAGAGCGGATGCTTCTTCTGTCACTCTGGAATGGGATTGTGGAGAAAGACATCCTCTTCTTTTCTTTATCTCTGCTGGTGACTCTGCTTGTGTCAATGCACTCCAGTGGCTGGCGGACCATCTGCATGGTGGTTATGGTGTCTAGCCGCTTTCGCAGCAGCCATGGTTATTGTGGTGGCTGTGGTGGGCCACCCACATGGAGGTGATGTTTTTGGCAAGCTCCTTGGTGCTGGCAGCGTACCTGGTTGTGGGGACTGTCTGGTCCCTGGCTCCATGGTTCTGGTCCCTGACTCCATGCCTTGGTTCCCTGGGTGGGCCCTGAGGTGCTGGTATGGAGGTGCCTGGTTGTGGGAGGGGGGTCTGGTCTCTGACTCCATGCCTTGGGTCACTGGGCCAGCCCTGAGGCACAAAATTAATTCAAATTTAAATAGCTATATGTGGCTAGTGGCTTATTATTGGTCAGCACTGACTAGAACATGTTTTCTAAAATTGTTTCAGTTTATGCCTTCTATTTCACTCCTTCACATTTCAACATCATATTCACATTTTGTTAATATATCATCGAAAAATTAACACTTTACTACTCCTGAGTCTGTTTAGACAATGAAAGGAAAAATCTAAGACTCCTGAGATTAAAGGCTACAGTCTAAAAGACAAAGTTCAGATCTGAATAGGTTCTTTTGTTTCTCCGTATGCCCAGGACCATTCAGCTTCAACTGAATTTAAAAGCATGAATAACTTCATTTCAAAGTTGAGTGATAACAATCATGGTTTCAATTTCCATAACAAACGAGCATATACTCGTATTTCACCCTTGTGCATGATGTAGTAAAAAGAACACTGGCTTAGCATTATAAAATTCATGTTCCATTTTCAGCTCTGCCATCTAATAACTTGGTGACCTCGGCCAGATCATTTACTTACCTCAGTTTCAGTTTCCTTCTGTATAATATGGGGATAATTACCCCTGTCCTATCAGACTTAGATGCTTTATGAATTATTAAATGCTAAAAGTATTACTAACATTGTTAACCATATTTTCTAGTTACTGTGTTAAATAAGTCATCTAGGAGCCTTAAGGCTTTTCGGTCAAACTTACTGGATTTTCTTGGCTAGTATTTCTCAAACTACCTGTTGGGACAACCAGGTTTTTAAATTTCTAATTAGTTGTGGACCAATACACATAAAATAAAAATGAGTTACTAGAAAAATTAGATAAAAAATAGATCACCTTTTAAGATTCAATACACATAAAATGTTTTCCAAATAATTTTATTGCTATAAAAGTTTCCAAAGGTATGTTCTTGATTTCTGAACTTACTGCACCACAACCACTAAGAGTTTGTGGATTAGCATCAGTCCTCAGAATTCACTTTCAGGAGCAGTACTATTCTAAGCAATCCAGGGCTACATAGTTAATAAGATAGTTAACATAATATTTGCATTATTTTTCCCATTACATTTAAGGCATCATATTAATTACTTGGTACAAAAAGTAAGAACTATGGGTGAATTAAAAATTTTCATACTTGGGGCCGGCCCGGTGGCGCACTGGGTAGTGCGCCGCTTGGGAAGCGCGGTGGCGCTCCCGCCCGAGGGTTCGGATCCCACATACGGACCGGCTCCCGCTCACTGGCTGAGCGAGGCACGGGAGCAACGCCGAGGTTTGCAATCCCGTTGCCGGTCCCT